GGTCCGCAGCAGGGTTAACGAGGTGGACCGTCGGCCTCCGACGGAAGCAACGGTAGCAAACAATATCTGCGGAATCGTTCGTAACGAGCGATTTACGGCCTCGTTACGTGCGTCGTTCTCGTAGCGATACAACAACGATTATGCGGACGCAAGTATAATGCGCATAACGGTACGTTCAACGTGACAGCCGTACGGTGATATAGTTCTCTAATTAAGGTTGATTAACTTGTTCCCCATCACTCTCTCTCGCGCTCTCTCTCTTTCTCTCTCGCTCTTCTTGCAGGCATGTTCTTTCTCTCTCTCTCTGTCTCTCCGCCAATCAACGCCCTCTCCGGGCACGGGAAGAACGGGTCAGGGCGCGCCGATTTAAGCCGCGTCCCCACTTGCGCGAGATTCGACGTCGAACACGCTTCGACCTTCAACTCTTCGCGATCGTATTAGATCATTCCACGAGTAACATCGTTTCTTATGGACTTTCTGATGGGAGACCTCGGATCTCTCTCGAGAGTGGGATTCGATTAATCGAAGGATTATGGAGATCGCGATGATTAAAGTCAGCGTGAAAGGAATGACACTATTTATGGGATGATCCAATTGTTTCTGTAAGCATGATGGTGCGTTGGTTGTAATTATGTCTTTCGATCGCGTATGATTGATTTACTGCTTACGAAATGAGATGTGCGAAGTAAGCAGTGTTGTTTCGACTGTCATACGTTGACTGTCAAAATTTCTTGCTAGGAGTATTCCAGGGTTCGACCGGGAAGAGTTGAAAGCAATTCGACGAGCGTGGCAACGAAAGAAATCATAGGGCAAGGGGTCAATCGCGATGACACCACGGGCAGTCTGAAAGCAGCACGCGTCCCGTCGTCCCTTGTGCGCATCCCCCCTTTAAGTCTCTTTCTATGCATTGTGCGCGACATTGAGCAGCTATAGTCTGATGTCTCACGAACTCGAAAGGGGAATTCGGTGTTCGAATTGACCGATCGTCGATATTCTCGGATCGATAACGAGGAAAAGGTCAAAGTTGTCTTGCTGATTTTTAACATTCATTTCGCGAGTGAATTTCATCGGTTCTCCTTTCGAGTCATCTTCTCAGGGTGACTCGGTTCACCGAGGGACTACGTCCTCGATCGATCGATGATCCACGCCCTACGGGATTCATCTGACACAGATCATCGCGATGATCTTCCGCCTCGACTCTGATTCGACTGTAAATTCCGACGTTTGTTACCGATCGCTCGGTTTGCGTTGTTCCATGCGATCGGACACTGTAAGCGGTGCTTTGATAGTTAACTACTCCCTATCGTCTCGGATAGATGATGTTTTCGTTACCCTTTATCGCGGACTGTGTTGGAATCTTTAATCGAATTCGTTGAAAAACGTTTGCACGCGGTCCTCCGCGATAAGCGACGCTCGGTTGCTACTCCCTATCGTCTCGCGTCGAGAATTTCAGTTCACTATTCGTACTTTTTCGATCGCGGCCGACGATGGAACCTCCGGTTGTATCGGTTCGCCGATCGCGCGACTTCGAATGATTCCTTTCAGGATTCTTCAACGATTTACAATGATCTTTCTTGTTCGCAACGATTAGACCGCGGATATCTCTGCGTCTACAGGGAATTTGATGGTATTCGTATCCGATATCCAATGTGCGAATATCCCGTTTAGGATATTCGTTGGGAAACTCTTGTTCCAATTAGATTTAGAAAAGTGAAGTTTGCATAAAGATCCGCAGCCCAATAATGATGAAGTGTGTCGCGTTGGTCCGACGACATCGACGAGGAATGAAACGTCTCGGGAAGAAATGAGGGTCGGAGGGCGGGTCCGGTGGTTGTCGACGGTGGTGGACAAACGGATGGAGATGGTTGGTGATGGTGGTGGTGGTAGTGGTGGTGGTAGTGGTGGTGGTGGTGGCTGGTGGCAAAAGAAACAAGTAATCGAAATAAAACGAACGACGTATCTTGAACCAAACACAAATCAGTTTAATCCTTAAATAAAACATAATTTCTGTTATGTTATATAATAATAATTAAATAAATAAATAAATAATCGGTAGCAGTAGTAGTAGTAGTAGTAGCAGTAGTAGTAGTAATAAGTAAGTAAGTAATAAGTAAGTAGTAGTAGTAGTAGTAGTAGCAGTGGTGGTGGTAGTAGTTATAGTTAAGTAAAGTTATAGCGGGTGGTAAGAAAGTAGCGGTTGACGGGTTTCGTTAAAAAAGTGAATCGAAGTGAGAGTTTAAAGACCAGTTTTTCCTCGTTTCTTCTTTTTCTCTCTTTCTCATTCTCTCGTTCTCTCATTCTCTCTCTCTCTCTCTCTCTCTTGCTTTCTCTGCCATTTTACGTTTGTTTCTCGTTTTTTTGTTCTCGGTTCGTCGACGTAATAGTACGAAAGTAAGTAGCAGTGAGGTGTTCAAAGGTTACACGTGTTCAAAGGGTTACTACACGAGAGACAAAAAATATATACGATCGTATATATATATATATATAGATATATATACACATATACATATACATATATATACATATACCAATGATAATAATTGTAATAATAATAATGGCGATGACGGTGGTAATAATAATATTAATAATAAAGGTAATAATAATAATAATAAAGGTAATAATAATTAATAATAATAATTAATAATAATAATAATAATAATAACCAGAATAATAAGTGTAATATACGTGATAATAATTATGAGAAGGATTAATCATTTATAATAATGAATGTAAACCGTACGCGGTGTAAGAACACTACCCTAATACTTGCAAGGGGGTTCCAACGTCTTACACACGATTTTCACCCCCGTCCCACGAGCATCGGTTCCTCGAAAGATCCGTCACGACGAAATCCCGGTCTACTCGTTCGAGAATATTCCTAGATAAATTCCTAGAAGATTAATCGATCGAATGAGAAGCAAACGCGTCGACTGCCATGCTGGTGGTCACCGGTGACCGGCGTTTCCATACAGAAAACAATTGCGATACGTACGATAACGGATGTTCAATAAAAATGTCTAACAGCGTAATTCGACGATAGCGCGACGCATTAATTCTCACGCGAAATCATTAACCCTTCTGCATTCGGTTGAACGTAGGAAAATTATTGAAGTTTCAAATTCTACATGAAATTTTGTACAACGTATCGCAGGAGACACGTTGAAACGAGATATTCTTCTTTCCCTGATTTATGCAATATTTCTCTATGTCGCTTGCAAAAGGTGCCATTCGATATTTCCGTCAGAACAATTACGAATATTTGCAACGGGAAATATCGTCGGGCGCGAAGGGTTAACGATCGTCGCTGTTTACCTTCCGACGCGAATAAGTGCTCAAGATTTCCGTGGCAATCGACGCGCCGATGAGCTCGATGCTCGCGGAGACGACGTTCGTCACTGCATGTCTCCATCGTCAAACGGTATGTGTGTGAGTGTACGTAAAGTGTGTACGCGTATATATAATTTGCACTAATCATCGAGATCCTCATCGGCCCGACGCCGGGTCGCGTCTGTCCCATCCCTCCCCCGAAGCCGCTCTACCTTCTGCCCCTTGATCCGGGACCGGGATCGGAATGGCGCGAGCAATGGCGGCCGGGCCTCGAATAAATAAAATAAAATAAAATCTTAGCGGATAATAGTATTCTCTGTTGCTTGAGGTTCAAAATTACGTTTTTTATCGGGGGGTTGGGTGGACGCAGCCTGTCCCGTGACGTTGTCACCGAACTGGGGAGAATCCGTTCTGACACTAGACCTGCCCACCGATCGATCTGACTTCTTATTCCTTCGCAGAAATTACAAGGGAGGATTAAATCTTTAACCGACTCATATCTCAATATTACTCAACCGCTACAACGAATCTAAGCATCTGCGTCTCTCCGATGCTCACAATAGAAATTGGTAGTTCCAGCGTTAAGAATTCAACTCGACACTGGAACTAGCAATCGAATTGGTTTCTTTCTATTTTTCCATAGAAATGACAAAGGGGTATTTATGAAAATTGTAATACAACTCGTGTCTTGATATCGAACGAACTTTGTCCATATCCGATCGAAGAAGCATCCGTTCCAGTGTCAAGAACCACGAACGATCCCCTGGTTCCCCGACGATCGGGACGCGACTGCCGTTCCCGCCGCCCCCCACCCCCCGCGGACTAGACACAAGAAGGTACACATAAATAGGACAACATATACACGCTACGTTTTATCATCTCTCCTCGCCTGTCCCACGTAAACGCTAAATCTAAGAGCTTAAGAAATCGTCGCATTTAACTTATCCTCGTCCTGTTTCTTTGCGTTTTCTCTTCTTCTTTCTTTCTTACGTTCAATCTCCGTCCCGCTCACGATTAAGTACTTACGATCCGTCCGTGGCTCGCGATCCCCCAGGGACGTCTCTCTCGAGTCTAGACGACGATAAATATCATTGCGAGGAGGACTGACTGGTGAACGCCGGTGCAAAATGTTGTTCCCTCGCGAGAGACCTCGAACGTTTCCACTGTTCCAATCGAATTGCGTTTAATTATGGCACAACAGCTGTCTCCGAGAAGCTTCGTCGGCTAGTTCCCAACGAAAGTTCGCGTTCGGGTATCCTAAAACCGCCGAGTGTACAGGGTGGCGCGCGAGAAACGTCTGAAACCCATCGGACACCGTGCCAGCGGTAGATTCGAGAACCTACGTTCGTCACGCGAGACCGAAGTCTCGTCCGTTTTTCGGGGACCACCCTGTAGATCGGCGGGGGAGTCGCGAGCGAGGACCGATTCCGCTAACCTTACGCGTCGCACCA